GGTTATTGCATTTGCTTGATCTACAATCATGCTAAACCCCATGGATGGCCCATCATTGCAGAATGGCTGAACTTGGGAGATTTGTCCTGCAACATCAGTCTTCTCATCTGGTGAAGTGCAGATGACTGATTCAAATTCCATTGTATTTGCCGAAACCTCATCAGGAAGACCAGAAACCAGTGTGGTTATTGCGTTTGCTTGATCTACAATCATGCTAAACTCCATGGATTTGTCTATCCTCTGAAACTCAGAGTTTGTCAGCGAGGAATTAGCACAAGAACCATGAGGTAGGATCTGCGGGCCAGGAATCTGCATATCTAATTTGTCTTCTACATAGTTTCCAATGATTATATTATCTTCTACAGTAGCACTATCTACCATATTTTGAACTGCAGCATGATCCATTTCCTCCAAAGCATCTAGGCAAAATCCTTTGGTCAAAGGGGACTCAGATGAACTATCTGTCCCTTCCATTGTACAGACCTTATCACCTCGGCATGTGACTGAATCATTGTCCAAGTGTATTGTGTCATCCAGTTGACTTGCCGTTGATTCCACATCAGAACTCAGAACCTTGTTGCCATGACATGAAGCATCTGATTCGGGAGAATAATCTGCATTGGTACAGTGCATTGTGAAAATTTCAAATCAAATGAGAAGAACTATACTACAAGGAAGTGTCTTTAGAATAACATATCTTGTTCAAATCTACATACTTAAATTGTTAATCTCATTTTAAATATTTCACCAAAGATTCATGAGCTTCTTTTGAACTGCAACAGAACAGAACATTCATACTTCTGGTCAATAGTTTCAGATCTCTAGAGGACTAGTCATAGCAAATAGTCCTCTGCTGCACTGCACCAGTTAGGTACAACAGAGAATCCCAGTCCATGATGTAGTTTCTTAAGATATTTTAAATCACCCTTTTCATATACCAAACAAAAGGTAAAGGATTAGCAAGTTAAGCTTATATGACATAAATCATGCACATTATACTAGTCCAAGGACAAGTATAAGACTTCAGGTAACAACGGAACAAGCCATACATGAGCTGTACAAAACATCTCTATGAACTCATAGAATGATGGCAGAATTTGTCAAAGATGACAATAAGAAGTATATGTTCAATAAAAATCCACCAAAAAAATCTGAACAAAAACTAAGAAGGAAATTTGTTATATACAAAGATATGCTGAATTCACAGCTAACATGTAAGGAAAGAACTGATGTCAATCCTTTCAATAATTCAAGCCTTGGAGTCATGAAAAACGCAGACTGGTTAAGAATTGATGGTGATGGTTCCAATTTACAAACAGTTAAATTATCCATAAAACTGTCAATTCAGGAAGTCATTAAATTACAACTCAATTCATCACATAATCTTATATTTCTTACCAATCAAAAGAAATCTATTAGTTCATCAATTTAACAATCTGGTAGTAATTTTCTACCATTTAATTATAAGAGAAGATAACCATTAACAAAAAAAATAAAGAAAGAATAAAGAGAACACGGCACGCAATAAAATTCCACAGAGATCAAAACAGCAAACGTTGATAGCATATTCAAGCCTTTTGGCCTATGCTATGTAAAGATAAACGATCCACCCAAAAGACCTCGACAATCTCATGAAAGTATAAGCTGAAAATAGCAAAGTAAATGAAAGATCGCCACAACGTAGTCCACATACCGGCGACGTCGGCCTCCAAGATCGCACCTTTACACGGTTCTTCGACGTCTACTCCAGATTGGCCCATTCCTCTCCCTTTTTCCCCCTCCGGCTTTGGTTCCTCCTCCACCACCTCCTCTCCTGCAAAATAACTCAATCGCACCAACCAAACCCCAAAAGATGAGCAACAGAAGCCACAAAACGGTAAAAACTTATGACTCCGTACCAGACACATTCCTCGGGTCCTCATCGGAGAGTTGCTCAGGAGGCGCCTTCTTCACCTCCACGGCTGCGGCTACGTCGGCGGCTCCATCCGACAGCCCCGAGGCCGTGGCGCTGCAGTGCTTCCGGTGGGCCGTCCGGTGCTTCTTGCTGGGGTGCGGGTTGGGGTACACCCACCCGCACCGGTGGCACACCTTCCCACCTCCATGGCTCGCGCTCCCTTCAAGAAGAGGAAACACACTATCTAAGCCCCAAAACCACACAAAAACCTACACCAAAAGAATCCACGCAACGCGAAGAGCACGAAGCACAGGAGAAGACCCCCACCTGGCGTCTGCTCCCTCCGGTTCTCCTCGCCCTCCATCTCCCGAGATCTCGCCAATGTCCTCTCCCTCTCTCTCTCTCTCTTCCCCCCTCAAAGAGACGACACTTTCGAGTGCTACTGACAGTCGAAGGGGGGAATTCCAGTAATGAGAATGCGGAGGGAAGGCAGAGGGTCTACAAAACCATCGTAAACCGTCGGATCTTGCATTAAGATGCGCGTGATCCGATCGGACGGTGAGAAATGCAAAATGGAGGCGGTCGCGACATCAATCACCGATACGGCCATGTGAGAGGAATTCTACCGAGCGACAAGACTTGCGTACGTCCGCATAGAAAACCCAAACGGGTACATCACAGCCGTTACGCCTAATGGATGCGTAGCTCGTACAAATACTTGTATGCGTACGTTTGGGGTGCGCTCTCTGATGTGTATAGCGTTGGAATTGCTCACTTAGACAAATTGGCCGCTTGGATTATATTGGCTTCTTCCGTATTTAGTACTATTGTTGTTATTGGTAGAAAATATTAGAGAAGATGAGGAGATGAAGCCAACAAGAAGGAGAAGTAAGTAATTGATAGAAAGATTGTGAGCAGCATAGACAATCACAAACGACAATAGTTTGCCACATTGCGATTACTCTTGTAATTTTTGTTTAATTAAATTATCATATTTAAATTTTAAAAATATTTTTTTAATTTGGATCAAATCGAACCGTCCGTTACGGTGATCTGTGTGCCGGATCGCATCGGATCTTTTGTTTTTGTTTTTGTTTTTGTTTACTTGTATATGAATTGAGAGAGTAAACATTTTATGATGATTCATGTTTTTTGTGTTGTGGATATGAGGAAAGCAAGTTTCATTAGAACAATCTCTATTTGTGTTTGAAGGCTTCTTCCTGTTGTTGCTTCATGTCTCTGCAATTATTTTGTGGACCCTTGTGGATCTTGATGTCTCCATCATGCATGTACAGAAAGTTTCAGGGACACATCAGAAGGTCCAAGAGAAAACACCATCTGCGAACACTTCATATCCCAACTCAGAAGGCAACTCAGTGCATTGTTAGGGTAGCTTGAGTGGAGTCAAAAAGGTTCTCTATCTATAGGGGGAGGCCAAAGCCTTAGGAAATTTTGTGAGTAGGCCTTTATAGGCATTACTTTATTTTTTCTTTTTATTTGGGTGAATTGTTAAAAAAAATTCATACTTTTTTTTTCAACACTCCTATTTTAAAAATTTTTAAAATAATATATTTTTTTTAATGATCACTCTATCCCTTTTTCGATCATTCGAAATCCAATAACTTACGACGATAACCCCATGCATGATGGAGGAGGGGTAGCTAACCCTTACGCAAGAGTTATGGTAAAAGGGGGCAACCAACCCTTGCGTAAGGCGGTAAGCAAAGAGAGTCAACCTCACATGGGGTAAAATGTTATTTTCACATGATTAGGAATATTATTTTGAATTTTTTGAGTGCTACTTAGAAATTTTCAAAAAATATCATTACTACTATATTTTCTAAACATAAGAAAAAAAATTATGTTATTGGTGAGAAGGAGTAATACAATTACTATAGACTTAAAAGCTATAAATAATAAAAATATAAATATTTTAAATTTAACTAGAGACATAACTTTTTTATATAAATATAAGAAGATAAAAAGATTCATATAATCGACACTAAATAATTTATACATTATTATTATTCTACCTCAGGCAGTGAATTTTTTCTTTTTTTATGTTTTCTAAGTGTAAGAAAATACAATCATGTTATTAGCTTTAAAAAATGCATATAATTGTCACAGCCAATTTATAAATTTTAACATATATATAATTTAATACCAAAAATATGACACATGTTTTATCCTCAAAAAATTTAATTAATTTCATAAATAAGCCTTAAATTCTCAGTTCTTAAAATAAAATAATAAACATGATTGGTGTCAGACTTTTCAGTACAAAGAAAGTATCCAAAAAAACTATTCTAACAGTTAGAAAAAAAATGTTGTGTGCACAAATTTCTTTAGTTGAATTTGACAGTGCATTAAAAATCCTTTTTTTCTCATTTCTTCTGCCTTTCTCATTTGTGTGAGAAAGTTGATGGGATGCTTCTCTTCAAGCTGTCCAACTCAAATTGTCTCTTTTGAGCCTCACACTCACATGTTTTTGTCTCTTTTGCTCTGCTTTGAGAGACCCCCCAACCTCCCCCCCCACCCCACACCCCTCTCTCTCTCTCTCTCTCTCTCTCTCTCTCACCTTCTTCTCCTTCTTCATTAGCAGCATGCAGACAACCACCCTGAATCATGTGCCTCACATTGAAACCTGGACTCTAATTCTTCATCCCAAACTTTTAGTTTCAGATTCTTTGGTGCCAACCATGGCATTGATTCCTGAAGCCAACCGATGATGCTGATGGTATAACCTTTCACATGGTTGTACAAAGACTGTGGCTGTCTCAGAGAAAGCTGCTTTCTTTTCTTTGAAATCTGTGGAGGAGACAGGCATGCTTTCATCAACCACAAAGTTTGGTGATGGCAGAAAGGTGTTCATTGCACTGTTTGGGTGACTGTTTAATGATTCATGTGATGGAATCAACTATGCATCAATTGAAGCGTTCCAAGTGTTTTATGGTCAAGCATCCAGTGGAAGTTTTATGCACTCCCTCCTACTTTTTTTGTTCATTCCAAGGAAAGTAAAAGCTATATTGCATTAAAATGCATCAGCACAAAATGGAATGCAGATTAAGGTGTCATTCATCTCTTTAACATCTACTCATGTTAGAGTTTTTAAGCATACAAAGCAAAGTGGTGAGAGCTTCTCTTTGTCTTTTTAGATAAATGGCATACTTTCCATTCTTGAAAGGAATAAAGGATGTTTAGGATCAAGTGAACAAAGTTCTTTAATCCAAATTATTTGAACAACAAGATTAGTTGATGAACAAGAAACTAAGTGTAAAAAGAACCCTTAGAAATCAAGATTTGTTTGTTTTGGTAAGTATTTTTATAAAGAAAAAAAATACTTTTGAGTGGTTTTAATATTTTCTCTAGTAAATCTAAGGATATCAGAAGAAAATTTATTCGGATCTATACGAGAGTTGATGGTTTAACTTTGATTTAATTCAAAAAAATTAGTTATTTTATTTAATTATATATATATATATGTGATCAAAAATTTATATTGTTCTTTGTCGATATAAACAAGAAGTATCGAACGATATAAATCTTAAATCGACCTTTCTATTGGATGATTTTTCTTCTGGTATAAATTTCATGTAGCTTCAAATTACCCCTACCAACCTCTTGCATGCAACTCAGGGTAACAAAATAAAATTATTTTTTAAAGAAAATATAAATAAAAGATCAAAAAAAAATATTGATTTGGCATTTACACCAACCTCCCTTTCCATCATTGATTCCATCATCTTCTCTCTACCATCCAAAAGAAACATGTGGGGACATGGTTTCTCTCTCCTTCACCACCATCACATCACTGACATAAAGGTCTCCATGCAGCTTCACTTCTGCTGTGAAAGTGTTCAGCTGCAGGCTCCCTCCTGAGCCAGCGTTGTCCATCGAACAAGCCCATTCATCACCTTCACCTCATCTGAAACTGGCCTGCGCTTGGTCAGCAGAATTTATAATGTCTTCGGAAGAATTGTCCCTTTCTGATGCAGTGCCTTCCATTAATAGTGTTCTTGAGGTTCCATCTGGTGACAGTGATACCTCATCTCTTCTCCATGGCTATGTAAAATATGTTCGATCTTATCCTCTCCTTTTGATGGCATTGATGGGAGTTCCTCCCCAGGATACGATGCTGAAGCCACTGTTTTGGTGTGTGAGTTCTTCGGGAGCAGCTCTTCTCATCGTGTTGCCATTTGGAGTCCTCGGATGGCAAGCGGGTGCAAAGCATCACATGGCGGCCGAGATCGAAAACTTTTGGAGCTTTATTAGAGCCGTGCTTGTGCCGATCTCGGACAGGGTCGCCGCACTTGTTGGCGCCGTAGGTTCGGGCTCTCACTGGTTGATCGACGCAGCAGCCGTGGAGATTGTGGAGGTGGCGAAGAGGATGCTTGGCGGCTTGCAGGAGACTTACCCTGAGATCTTCATGGATGGCAGATGCGTCGAAAGGATCGTGTCAGATGTCATGAACAACTGCAAGCAAACACCTGAGTTCGAGATGAGTGTCAGTGAATCACATTCATTCTCTTTCTGATCCATCACCATACATACATACATAGTATGTTACATTTCTTCCCCATAGTCGACAAAGAAAATAGCAATAGATGATGATTGATGTGAATCCAAGTTTGCACCATTCATCATGACTTGGAAGCAATAAGATCATTGACAGAATAATGAAAAATGGTAGAATATGATACAAATCAAAACTTTCCAAGAGAGTGAGAAAGAGAAGTAAACCAACCATAACAACTGAAACATGGATGAATCACAGAAGACTCAATATCATCATCTCCTCTCCCCCTCCAATGTACATTTCTGTTTACCAAAAGATTTACATTGATACAAATCAAAATTGTGCGACAGTGCAAGAAGACCAAGCTCTCCTCTGAACACTTGAAGACAGTGGAAGCGCCACAATGATCTAGCAATATCTCCCTTCCATTTCATGGACTTGAATCACTTATGTATCTGAAAATAATTCAGACTTGAACCATATGAATGCTAGTTTATCCAAGTCTTGCAAGTATAGAGCCATCTTTCTTTGACTTTTTTTTTTCTCACTCAGCCAGGAAGCTCATAGCAGAAATAACAGGGATATGGAAACTGAAGGCACCAAAAGAACAAATCACCTATTCGTTCATGCTGCCATATCTTCCAAGGTAAATCAGGCACTTATCGGGAACATCTGATATCAGAAAGGTATGACATAAGGCAAAGCAACGACGTCCTCTGACTCGATTTTGAGTACTTCGGACCAAACCTGGGGTACCTCATCACCTCCAAGCTGTGTCTTCGGCTTTTGCAGCAGGTGACAGCTGCTGAATAGCCACTCTTGGTCATCATACTCGGGCCATTCATCCACTTTGGGAATAGAATATATTTTGTCAAGATGCACAGAGTCCGGGTGGGGAATTGTATAAGCTTTACCAGTTGCACCACTATCGGTAGCAACTGGATGCCTCGATCCATCAGAGAATGTCTGAGCTCTCGCTTTGCCATTTATCTTGTGTTCCTTGTTATCTATTGGCTTTTCCACCAGAACATTGTTTATGGCTCCAAGTTTTAATGGAGAACAAGCTGCACCAACATGTGATGATTCCAGTGTCCTCCCATTCTCTTCACGAAGGTGAGATGAAGGATCTGTTTTTGGAAATTTGTTGGGCCTCAAATTATTCTCTGCAATGTCAGGGACAATGTAGTGATATAAACCAAACAAATGAGGTTTATAACACCATAGAAACTAAGAGTACTTACAGGATTACAAAGGAATAGATAAATTAGATGACTTACCATTGGGAAAACCATTTGTATCAATTTCCTTTCTCTTCTTCATAGTATCATCAGTAAGGTAACTCTCTGCATTATCTGTCTGAGGTGCTAAAGTTTTTACATCTAGACTATCTAACTGATCCTTTTTCCTGCCATCTCTTGGCTCTTTTAGTTCTTTATCCTTCTGTTCACCTTTCTCCTTTACTTTCGTCTTCTCTTTCTTTTTGCCCTTGTGCTTGTCTTTATCTTTGATTTTCTTCTCATCGCGAACCCGGTCCCTATGTCTTTCCTCTTTCCTATCATCAGCATCCCTCTCCTTGCTCTTCGCTTTCCCCTCCTCAATCTTGTTGCTGGCATCCCTTGCCACTGCCTCGTCCATCCCAACAACTCTTCTTTGCTCTGCAAGGATGTGGTTTTGAAGGATTTTGTTAGCTCGCCCTCTGTCCTCCATCTTAGTGGCAAGACCGATAGCACCAACATTTTTACAAGCAGAAAAGCTTTGTGCTGGTTGGGCCATCCCATTAATGGTTCTTGGAACGTCACTGTTGGAGCTTGAGACAACTTTTTTACTATTTTGGTTATCAATTTCCACTGCAGCTGCAGCATATGGACCCTCAAATCTTTTATGAACAGAACCCACTGGGTATTCCAAGGGTGATTTTGTATGACCATTTCCTTTTTGTCCCGTACTAGGAAGTTTTGGAACCAATTTGTCATGTGTACTTTTTTCCTTCTTGACTGCATTTGCAGAGCCCAGTGCCTCGTTTTTTCTTTGAGTAGAAAAAGTAAATTTGTCGGTTGGCCTTTCAAAACCATCAATTCTCCTTTGTAGAGGACCCATGGTGGGGGGAACGATTTTATCACCAGCAACTCTTTCCTTGACCATTGCAGTCTCAGCAGCCAAGTTACCGATGCTTTTTTGAACTGGGCCACTGAAGTTGTCAGCCTCTCTGTTTGCTGCCATTTTTCCTTCATCTTCAATCTTCCTCTCCAATTTCTCAGCAAATTTAGAAGGTTTAGTTTCCTCAGTCTTCTGACTGCATTCTCCAAGCATGTCTCCATGTGGAGACTCGGTCTGTTTGTCAGCCCTCTCATATAATATCCTGCTTTTGTCCTTGTTCTTATTCTTTCTTTTCTTCTCTTTATGCTTTTCTTTTCGGTCCTTCTTTTCCTTGTGTTTATCTTTACTCCGATCTGTGTCTTTTCTTTCTTTATCTTCTTTCTTTTCTTTGTCCTTCTCCTTTTTATGTTTCTTCTCTTTACGTTTCTCCTAAAAGTTGACAAAATTGACCACAGAAGCAAAGGTAAACAAGTTTGAAGTTTCAGATCCTCACCAAAAAATGATCTAACAACATTACAAAGACATTAACTCAACTATCAACATGTAAACAACACGAAGAGCTACTTCAGCCAAGCGAAAAATTTTGCATGCCATTATCCAGATATCATAATATATTAGAAAACAACATCCAAAAAGTAAAGGAACCAAGAAAAGAACCCCCCCAATAACCGATCTACTGTTAATCCAGATAGCTATCACTAAGCAGCACATAGGGAAAAAAACATGATATAAATTTAAATCAAACCAACTGAAACATCAGAAAGAAAATATCATATTCAACATAAACTAATCAACTGCACTAATTAGATGTTTGGCACCTAGGAGCTTATATCATCAAGCTTCCCACTAACTTTAATACATCAGTATTTTAGATGAACATATATCAAGGTAAGGCACCTAAATTATTAAATCCTAAGAAGTTTAAAATGACTGCATTTTTGGAACATAAGAAAACACTTGTAGGTAAATTAAGAAGTATGAATCTCTTACACAACATTACAAAATGACATCAAGTTATCAAACTAACGAAATGGCAACATAAACAGTTTCAACATTTTCTAAATGTACCTCAAAAATCAGTGAGTAGCAGAACTCTGGAATTATGACTCCCAGAAACAATCACGATGCTCCTATAAATTAAAGCTATAATGGGGAGCTCAATGCATGAGATCTCACTGATACAAGGCTTTGAGTTTCAATGCATGAGATCCCACTGATACAAGGCTTCAGGTTATGACATATATAGTCTTACCTTTGGAAACAAAAAGACAAAGTCCGTGACTTGAATTGTGGTTACCCATGTCAAAAAGGAGCACCCTTATGATGAAACCAGAGCTTGCCCTCTTATATGAGTAAAATACAATAGTTTTCATAAATTGATATTTAGTTTTGGACAAATCCAATGCTGCCAATGCTGGGTCTGGGAAGAGTCTAACATATGCAGCCTTGTCTCTATAAGTAGAGAGAGATTGTTTCCATACCTCAAACTCTATTCACCATGGTGCAAAGGTGCAACCTCACCATTGTATTAAAGCTTGCCTTCTATTGTAAAAATGCAAAGGATTGCAGAAAACAAGGCTAGTAGCACATTAAGAAATCTCTTTTTACCGTACATCATAAAATGTCATGATTAGCACCCAAAGTGCAAAAGCTGTCTCACATGACTATCCAAGCTTTACTTATCGAGACTACCTTCCAACTGTGTATCCAAGCTCTACTTCTCTAGTTACTAAAAAGAATGGAACTCTCCTACAAAATACATATAAATATTCCCACATCCGCATCAAACTCTATTGTTGATTACAATATATATCCGAAGAGTCAGACTTTTAAATAATGTTTGAGCTTTAATACATTGGGTGATTTTAGAAGTATTATGCAGATAATTCTTAGGAGACTTCAATTTTTAATGTTGAGCAATAGACGATCAACAAAATCAGTGAATAAATTTAGATCATTTGTATCACCTATCAAAATTATCAGTGACATCAAATGATAATTTCTTCTTTCATTGATACTTCTTGTTGCTTTCTCTATGATTCTTTTTACTAAGAGTAGATATTTCCCCCCCTAACATACATTAAAAATCCATTTCAATTGTACATCACTGATTATCACCTTTACCTACAAAAATAGTCCATAATGTCTTACCCCTAAACAAAAGTGCAGATTTGTTGCATAGTTTAATATCCCTATCCTTACTGGAACTAAGCCTTTTCAGTAATGTATATCGGTTAATCTGCATCATATCATATCGGTCTCTAATAATCATATTTACAGAAGATGTAATACTTAAAGACAAAGTTTCAAACTGGTATAATGAACCAAAACACAAGTCAAAAGCCTACATGGCACTGTCAGCACATTGGGAGTGCTAAGTATGAGCTAGCCCTACCTCACTCAAGCTTCTGCATTAACATTTAACTACCAGAGAGAATCTCAACTAGAAAGCCATTTTAAATCTTCAAGTACTCTGAAGAGAATGTTAATGATTTAAATTAAAGGAATCAAATTCATCCAAAGAATGATTATGGCAAGAACTAAATAAGCTGGCTTGTACTTAACTAAATTTTAAAAGAGAAAAATGAAAACTTGTTTCCTCTTTCAACTAAAGATATAATTTCGAAAAAAAAAAAGTTTGTGTCACAGATAGCATGAAGTTTAAGTGTGGTAAGACTTAAAATTACCATCACAAGCTTCAGCACAGTAAAACTTCACAAGTTACAATTGTAGACTTAGTAGCAAACAAAAAACATGAAATCAAATGATAAGTGAAAAAATCAAGTAAAAATGTGAAAAAGATCAAGTTTAAAATTTAAGCTCACTATTGGTACTGGTACCACCGCTAGTAATGGAAACTAATAGGACCAGGATGTTCCAGATGGTACATTCTAAACAGACACAAAAAAATTATTAAAAAACGAGGAGTTCGATAATTATGTGGCATACCACAGTAGCTGTGCACAAGTACTCAGTTGGATTGATACAGAATGCTAGCTATGCCATTGTATTTAATTCTATGAAAAATATAGCTAAGTGAAATGAAACATATAAAGATGAGTAACTTCAATAACAAAGACCAACATGATACATCAAGATGTTGTATTGTCCACCATAAGTCATGAATTGAACATAACAGAAAATAGATCTCAACGGCTTTTTAGTTGAACATGGTAAGGTAAAAAATCCTTTCCTGCTGTAATGGCACTAGAAAATTGGACAAAAATAGCCATGAGAGCCAAAGTTGAAAACCATATAATAAGACTGAAATCCTAGAATGTTTGGCTCATTATTTAAAGGGAAAAGGAGCACCACCAAAATCCAACATGTTCCAACATCAAACTTCAGGTGATCTAAATCAACAAATGTAAGACCATAATAGTTCAGTGTCATAAAATAAGATCCCGTCACCATTAGAACTAATCCAGTATTTAACTTGCCGCACTGACATGTGATAAGGCAATCAACAAAGCAATTAATATAGTCTTAGTTACAAAGCACTTAAAAGTTTATGCATTTTTCAGTTTGTGATTAATAGTCTCAAGCAAAACCAGATAATTTATTGAACCAGAAGTTTTTGCCACACAGGATACATACAACATGTTATCTGCAAAAGTAAAGAATAAGATTCGGCCAATGCAAAAACAGATTGCGCACAACCAAAAGATGATAAGCCAACGAAATAAAGCTAAATTAAAACAAACACATTAATGAATGCATATAACTTCAGCACCTCTGCTAGCAAGTCTATGTGGTCACTTGTCTTCTTTTCATATCCTGGTGGTGGAAATGGGAAGCAGCGAGACATTGCACAGTGAGCCTCGTTTGGCTAGAAATCCTACTTTCCAGTAACGTTGTTCCGGTAAGGGAACGGACCACCAGCCATGCTCCTGCTTCTGCACCATGTCCCCACACACATATCCAGATTCAGAACCTCGCCATTGCTCTCGACCCAACCCACATCAATCCGTCAAGAAAACGACATACACCTTCGAATTGGGCATAAACCTAACTATAACACTGTGTAATCACTCAGCAAGGTTTTCTCCTCTCGTGGCAAAATCAAACTTACACAAAGGAGGAAGTCACAAAAACCAGAAATAACCCAGATCAGTTCGTGCTAGTACAGCATTGCCTACTTCCAGAACCACCAAAGCCACTGCAGATGAACCGGTCTACCAGAGTAGACAAGGAAGCCACCCAAACCTTAAAGTGCAGTCCTCTTCCATGTGACCAATCCCAGTCCTCCAAAGCACAATTCGATATCAGAAAGGACCTGATTTCCTCTCAACAAAGACGAAAACCCTGGAGCGCCCGCAAAACCAAGACCTCAGGAAACCGATCCAGAAGGCGTCGATTGGCCGACTCGAATATCCCAGCACCAGGATCCTCGGCGGCCAACCAGGCGAGCCCCAAATCAAGAAAAGAGGCCGGATTTCCTTGAGGCCCAAAGAAGGGGTCGAGAGGGGGGGGGGGGGAAGGGGAGAGGAGAGAACCGAAAACGGGCGGAGATGCACCAATTCTGGTAGAAAAAGCACCCAGGATTTCGGGATTTCTCACGGAGAGAGGTTCGGACGAGAGATCAACGGCGGAAGAGGCGCAAGATCCGATCTTTCTCGCCTATTTACCGCTCTTCTGGGTGGGTACATGTGCGGATCGGTGACGGAATCGTGACTTCCTCTCGTGGTGGGAGGGAAGCGAGGTGTTGGGGGTTGTTCTCGCACGCTCGCGTCGGAAGTTAAACGGAGGAGGAGGAAGGAGGAGGCGAGAGGGGGAATCGGCGGCCCTTCTTCTTCTACGATCGAACCCCCAGGGGAAAAGGGAGGCGTGGCGAGGAGGGGCCAGGGGAAGGCGATTCATGGACCAGTTCCATTGTGGTACCAGAGCAAGAGGTTAATATTCTTATCATCCACGATAATAATAATAATAATAATAATAATAATAATAATAATAATAATAATAATAATAATAATAATAATAAATAATATCGAAATTTTCTTTAAAAACTATTTTTGAAAAAAATTCTGTTTAATATCTTAACTTTCAAAAAATTTCATAAAATAATTTTTTTTTCAAAATGATAATATTATCACTTTCGACCACAACCTTCACCTAACAGTGTCACCCTTGTTCGATTTTGCTCCTATACATTTTGCTCTCATCGTTTTTGTCTATGACATAAGAATCGTTGACGTCTTAACTCTCCTCCCCGTTATCCCATTGAACCGGCCTCTACCTCTGTAACTATATACCTCTTTGCTTATGCTTTTGTCATTAGTGTGCCTATGTCGTAAGCAATGATAACAAAGACGAGGAGCATAAGAATAGATCCAATGATGATTTGCAAAGGCGATAGCAAATTGAATAAGATAGAGGAGAGAGGAGTAAAAGCAATAAGGATCAACGGACTCCTTGTGTTGTATGCTAGAATGGTGTGACGAGGCACACAAGGTGACGATGCAAGGTGAAGACAAGTAATATAGTCATTTTACGTAATAAAAGTAGCCTATGAGATTTTTTTAAAATTAAGATTTTTCTCGAGGATTCGCCCAAATATAATTAGATGACTATTCCTCTAAAAAAATGTGATTTTAAAAATATCTCTTTGATTTTTTTAAATTTTGTTATATATCTTGAAAAAAATTTGTAAAAATATATGTATGTATGTATGTATGCATAATAATAATTATCATAGGCTAATTGAAAAAAATTCTAAGTGATTTCAAATATATATTTTTTTAAATATATATGTATATATATATATATATATATGTATATATATATATATACATATAGATATATATACATATATATATATATATGTATATATATACATATATCTATATATATATATACATATATAGATATATATACATATAGATATATAGATATATATACATATAGATATATAGATATATATACATATATATATTTATATATATATGTCTATGTATATACATATAGATATATATATATACACATATAAATAATGGTAAATATATTATTTTAAAGTTCAAAAGGAAATACTACATATATTATTTTTTATCAGGATATGTGGTATTTGTAATTATTGTTTATTGGTTCAGGAATTATATTATATTTACACATAAGTCTCTCCATCTATACACTATTATGCATGTTAGTTTTCTCATACTTAGAGCATAACAAGAAGAGCTGATGGATGGTATACGAGTCAGTATTTATTCTTTATAATAGGTCATATCATGTGTGGGATTTGTATTAGTTTAGTACTAATACAATTATTAGAATGAAAAATATTTTAAAATAATTATTAGGTAATTCATGATTTATGGATTTTGGTGTAGCATATAATTTAGGAACTGCTAAAAAAATAATATATAAAGTAGTCTTCTCAGTGTATTTTCCTTGTAAACTTATTGAATTTAAATTGTTTAAAACAATTTCGTAATATCATATAAAAATATTAGTTATTTTTAGATTGAAAAATAAAATGAGAAAAAAATTCTAAGATAATATTTACATATTCAGATAAGACTATAAATACTCCGATTAAACATAAGAGATAATTAGTACCAACTTTCGTTGATTCCCCGAACTGTACCTAAACATGGCACGTGCAGTTGCGTCTTAGAAGGGATTGTAGTATCCGACATGGACCCGGTCTAATTGACAGGGATTGGACCGATTTTTTCCTGCATCCGAACCGATACGTCTTATTCTATAATTTGGTGGGGATTGGATCGGGTTTTTTCTAATCGAACCGAGTCAGTTGACGACCCGAGCCATCTTGAACCGATCCAGCACGATTCCTATGTCGAGCCAACCCGATTTGGAATCGATCCATCCAATCACGTGTCATAGTCGGATACGAACGGATGCCTATCTGGATTCGACTCAATTCGGGTTACCTTATTGTTGGCAAGTGGATCTTAAATCCGACTCGATCCGACCCGATTCGGAACGAGATCCATCAAAATTGCCCGGTAATATCCCGGTAAGTTGGTTGCTGCTGCGATGCGAATTCTTTAGGGTCGGCAGACGGCGACGGTGACGAGGGCGAACTCCTCTTCCTCTGCGTCTTTCTCGACACGGAGACGATTGTTTGAAGGAGAAGATTTCCGGATCGAGATCGTAAGCTTCGCCTTTCGATCGATCTGCTGGTCGTTGTTTTGGATCCTTCCAGTAGATGTTGGTTCTGTGATTTCTTTGTTATTTTTTCTTTTATGTCATGATTTGTTTGTGGAATTTGGTTTTCTAGAATTCGTGAAGAACGAAAAGGAACCTAGATTGAATTGGTTTCATGTTCGATGTGTGTATTGCCTGTACGGGATATGTTTGATCGATTGCCTGAGCCGGAAGACGTTTGAACATGTTATTTGATGGTTTGTTTCGCACGCAGCATTTCTTTTGCTGCTATAAGATACATTACCACGTCTGCTGAAGGGTCTTAATTCACAAATTCGTAGCCACTTGATCATGTTTTTGGATTATCATCTTTGAAGTGTCATTGTTGTTGGTGTTAACTCGAGCTAATGAAGATTATTTTGTGGGATTTCTTACAACTTTTTTATGAATTCTGACACTCAAAATGCTTCTTTGGTCTAATGTTATTGGCCTTGCAAATCTTGAGCGAGAGGATCCATGAAATTATTCCTTTTTCCATATGCCTTTGTTGATCTCTTGTTGGTCGTATAGGTGTTTGTATACGCTTTTCTTGGACAAATGCCTGCATCAGTGAACTTACATGGTAAAAATGCAAAATAATTGCAATATCAAGTACATTTGGCTCTGTATCTACAGGAGTATTATACTAGCTTGTGTCGAGAGGGTTGAGAGCTACATGTTGTGTTACATATGGTTTTAGTAAGCGTGTGCTTCTAACAGAAAACAGATCTACTATGGTTATGCCTTGATGTCCTAAGTTTGCTTTTTTATCTAAGACTTCACTGTGAAAAAAGGTCAATTTGCACCTTGACATGAACAATAATGTGGATATGTACCCGAATACTTACATAAAAAAAGCTTTTCTATAGTTCGTGTTGTTTCAAATAGAAATTGTTGGTGTATTCGCATGTTTTCTTTTCTTCAATTCTGTGAATTGACTTTATTCTTCCGCTAATATTATTACTCGTCCATAATGCTTTGTGCAGTCATAACAGTTAAGGGAAGCATTTAGTAGGAGGATCATTATGGCATCAAGACGACATGTACAATACTCTCCTCTTTCTGCAGATGACATAGATGAAGATCATGGAATGCTGGGGGAAGGAGACCTTCGCTTTGCCTACAATCCCAAGGCTCTCGATAGAGTTCCATGGAAGTCAATCGCCCTTGCAATTTTTCTTCTTGCTCTGGGGACACTTCTCCTTATTCTATCATTCTTCATTTTTACAGGCCATATGGAGGGTGAGCAATCCCAAGCATATGGCCTCTTGACGCTTGGTATACTTGCATTTCTTCCTGGTATGCACCACGAATCTATGATATTTATTTCATTACATCTCAATTAATTTTTGCTTATACTCGTGCATGATGTTCTAGAAGCAATCGGTCTGCTAGTAATATGTAAAGGCATTTTTTTCTAATGTACCATTCCTTGTGTCAATTCCTGTCAAACCTCCTAACTCGCGATATTGTAACTCAGACTGAATACCGGGAGAATTATGATTATTAAAGAATTTCATTGGTAAATTGTTGGGTTAAGTTTGATCTTTCATTCATGGCAGAAAGTCTATGTTCCAAAGATACTCACCTGTATAACATTATAAGTGTTTTTTTTTTCTAGTTAAGAAGTGCTGCATATGATGTATGGTAAGTTTAAAGTAGTAACATTTTGACTGAAAGCCTGAAAGTAGGTGTCATGTATAGGTTTTTGTTTTCAGAAAGGCATTTAGTTCTTCAGTGTTAAAGGTTATTCGGCGAAAAACCTTTAATGAAGATTGGATAATGACTTTCGACTATATACTTCTTTAAGCTGTCATTAACTTTTTATTTCACTAGTTTTTGTCGAAGGTCCTTTTTTCAAGATCTGTAAAGAATTTCATTGTATGTTTAATTTTGCATACTGCCCCCCGAAGATTTCCACCTTACTAGCAACTTGGAAATTTGAAATTTCTTAGAAACCACATTGAAGCTTTGGTAAATTAAGGTTGCATAGCATATATATGTTAATATATCTTGATCCATCCGGCATTAGTGGTAAAATGTAACTTAATTGTCACTCTAGCATGAGTAGTTCATGTGAAAATAATTTATTATAATGATCATTTCATATGCAACTTGTTTATAAAGCCTTGTCCAAGTTTGTTTACATATTTGTGTAGGCATGTGGATATACTATATTTATGGTGAAAGGTACATGGAAATCTAGGCATGGACCAAGAATTCAAACTGCCACCAAGCCATTAGTACCTCCACGCAGACTTAGGGGTTTATCCAGAACAATGTAATGATATTGTTAAATCTACTGCTGCTGCTAAATTTATCAATGTAATATCTCGGGCAGATTCAAGAGTATATCGAGATTCTCTTTTTAGATTGGCAGAGACACTTGTTCAAATTACACTTTTGCTTCATTCTTATTTGTTCTTAAGAGTGTTGGTTCTTTTAACCCCACTAGGATAATGAACTTGAAAAACCATACAACAAAACAAGCCTTCATCTACGTCGGAAGCCCACAGAAAAAAGCATTGTGACACTGAATATTTGAAGGTTTTCCATCTTGTTGCAGGTTTCTACGAGACTCGGATCGCTTATTATTCTTGGAAGGGTGCGCCAGGCTATAGGTTTTCTTCCATCCCGAGCTAGTCCTCCAAGCATTTTAGGCTCGACTGTGGATACTGGATATTGATCTTAGCCAGTGAGTTACAACTTGTTCCACAGATCCTTGTTTCGAGGATGGCTATTTTCTGCAAAATGAAACTTTGTGTGTTGCTATGCAATTTCTAGTTGCAGCGAAAGCTTACTTCCAGTGTGGATTTGTTGTCCAAATATGACCTAAATAATGCATGTTCTACTAAAATGTGTATTTAGTAGTGCCTTTACTGTTTCCTACAATGCTCTAGTTGTAGTCGATCCATCCATGTCTTATAATTTCTTTGATTCTCACAGTACTTGAATTCCCCAGTAATATTGTGCATTCCACTTTTCTATTAAAATATAACATTCATAAAGTACCTCATTATTTTATATTTTCTACTCAAACGAGCTTTAAATCCGATGTTTGTATGTTTCTCGTTATCAATAATTAAGTCATTCGTCAGTTTACTTCCAACGAAATATTTAAAATGCCACAGATTTAGTTAATATTTGTGACAAGTGACACACACTATCAATAATCTCTATCCCCATAAGAAAACATGTTCCTTGTTACTGTTCGTTGCGGACAAACACAACACACGAAGAAAGTATCATGGCATGGCAGTGCCTCTAAACATTACGATTGCATTAGCATAAACGAACAAATTAGCAAAGGGGTATTATCAAATCAGCGTGTCATCCATCCATCATCAACCTAAAAGAAGTAACATGATAACAAGGCGATTAAGCTAGAAAGCAATGAGGGTTATTTACCGCCAAAAACATCTGAGAAAACCAAAGGGTTCACCATATCCTCCTGTTACCTTCTGAACTGCCACCATGAACACTCAAGATGACATCCGAGAAAACGCGTCATTTCTGAAACTGCCACCATGTACAATCAAGATGTAGCGGCTATGACGATGAGCAAGTAGATCTGTAACACGGAAGATAAAATCCTGCATGTTCACAAGGTCAGAACTCTGGTGAAAATACAATGAAGCATTGCAATGGCTGCAATGCCAAAAGAATAGAATGCACACACACAACTGGCCCTTCTAAGAAGAAGAATTACCTACAAAGGCATCACCCATTTCCGAAATAAACAAAGAATCCTTTTTTCTCTCCTTTTTTTTTTAAATCGCAAAGCGAAACAGCATCATGATACAACAACAAGAATAGGGCACCATTGGTAAGTGCATCTTCAGATGAGCAGTCTCAGTTCTTCGTGACGAACTGTATGTACATCACCAGCACAGGGATGTGGGAACTCAATTTACAGAGATTTGCCTTAATAAGGTTATGAGAAAGGAGAAGAAATTTTTCTGATGCTTGCTGAACAGTTTCAAAGTCATCTATCTAGACTTCCCAGTTGCAGCTTCCAATGATGGAGGCCCCGAAGAAGAGGACACAAGTAAATTTCTTGAAACCAATGCATCAGCTGAAGAGGATGTTGGAAGACTGTAAGCATATACGCCGATGGGTGTTGCCATAGGATGGTCGAATTTGCAATGTGGGCCAAATTTGCAGATACCATATCGAGAATAAAAAATGCACAAGGGTTCTCCCTGTCAGAGAAACACAACCAAATATTAATTCACAACCATTATCAATAAAATACAGAACAGCATCGAGCAGTAAATCAGTTGTCTCAGTCAAATTAGTGTATAGTCCTCCTAAAGTTCTCAACAGTATAGTTTGATCCTATTGTTCCACCAAATAGAATAGACCTATGCAGCTATATCCTCGGCCAAAAGGTCAGACCAATAAAACTTGCTCCTTGGACTTCCACCAAGAAAACACTGGAGACAAGATACAGATGACTCCGCCGTCCAAAGACACAACAAAGGCAATCCTATTCATAGCTGAGACCTGCTCGAGTTGTGGTTTCAGATTAGCAAATCCTTGAAGGCCAACCAACTCAGTTGGGGGCAATACTCTAGTTTCATGGCATATTTTCTAATCCTTCCTCAACATTCATCGAACTTAAATACAGATTGTACATCTCAGCAGCTGCCTTTTCCACTGTAATCTTCCCTGAGTTTCAGCTTCTCTAGGAGTTAATGAATTGCAGAACGTAATTATCGGACATTAAATAATCAAGCAAATTCAAAATCTTTAATAATTTAATATACTATGTAGCAGTATTTTGTTTGTCCCATTTATGAATCAAGCATTGGAGTGAACTAAAAGGAAACATGTTTCTCAGTTACACTGCTCAACAGGAACAGAGTTCACAATATTGAATCTGGAACTTAATTTGGACATGCTTAATCCCACATGAATAGAATTTGGACATGAGTATAATACGTGAAAAAGGGAAGCTGGAACTTAAACCTTGCTGAAATGCTAATCTGACTCGCAAAAAAAAAAAGAAGAATACAACGATGGAAGGGAAAAATGTCTGGAACAGCCATGTCAGATTTCACTTTTATTATGGAAAGCCTACAACATGCTTAATCCCACATCAAAGAATAAAGGAAATAACGAGGTTGACACAAACTTACAGGGCGTAAAGGAAGGCCTAATGGACTCAGCAAACAGTTAGGGGGAGGAAGTAATCTCTCCCTAGGATGATGAAACTTGCAGGCTGCACCAAATTTACAATCTCCAGTCTTCATATAAAATTGACATTCAGGTTGATCAGGTCTCTCAGGGAAAACGTTCTCCCTTGCCAATACATACTGGCCCAGAGGAATAGCACTGGATCGATATGAGGGTATCGTCCCTTGAACTCCGGCGATTGTTTCATTCTGTCGTGATGTTCCATAAAACTGAGTAGTTCGTGGCAGGTGCAGCTGACTCTCTGAAGACGAAACAGACCCCAGTTGACCCTAGAGAGACATACAGCATGATACCAGTTACAACACAAACAAATATTAACAGAATATCAGATATGGCTAGTTATATATTTAGGGGGGAATAGAAAAAAATCGAGTACAAAACCTTTCACTTGGTCTAATGCCTAAGGCAATAGCACATAGAACTGCAACTACTAACAGCATAGATAATAAAAAGAACATCACCATAAATTCATGGAAACATGGCTGTGGAAAAAGAAAATTTTGCAGCATACTGGAACCTCTTCCTCGTCAATTGCCATTTGGCCTATGCAAACATGTAAAATATACTCTTGATAATGTGTATGAGATAGGCACATTTGGGAGATGATAACCTTTAGTACAAACAACACAATTAGACAAGCATGGAAGCAATCTCCTAAATGACATAGAAATGCCTCATAAGAGATACAACAAAAGAAAATAGAGATGATGCAAAAGACATGGCCGCATTACTTGTGTGCAGCCCTATTTTTATCTCCTGAATAACAATTTGCTTCTTGAAACTTCTTTATCAGGTAATATACTTCGCGTATTTGACTTACATGACATGAAGAAAAAGAGAATTTTTTACCATGTGACGTTGAAAAGCAAAAAAATCATGTCCATCTATGTCATGCATATTATAGAATGCCAGTAGGGCCTAAACCAGAATGGATTTACCGAATATGTGTTCCAGCTAGGAACTTGAACCAAACCCTGAGGAACAATCACTTGGGCATAGCTTGAAAGACCTTGCCATCGAGGGCTAGGAATAAAAGAAGGTCTTGACAAGGGTGTCAAACCCCCATGATAAGACTGCTGACTGGAAGTAGGAGAATGTACACCAGGATACATGGTCGAACCACGTACATTAGCCATTGTGTTAGAAGGCTGTGGATGGTGAAATTTGCAAGTGCTCCCGAATTTGCATACTCCATTTCTCATATAATATGCACATTCTGTCTCATTCTACAACAAAATGAGTATTATCTTATCATGAAAACATAGCACAAAACAGTTGTATATTCATTAGTAAGAATTTCCAAAAATATGACATTTAGATATCAACAAGTAGAAGTTACAAACCAGACGAATTGGATAACCTAAAGCATTTAATTGGACTCTCCCAGCAATTCCTGCCTTATCTCTAGGATGATGAAATTTGCATGTAGCACCAAATTTGCATGTACCGGTCCTCAGATAGTACTGAAAAAAGGATAAGAGAAGTACTGTCAAAAGAGATTACACAAGCATTAAAAAAAAGTTCCAGTTTTAATTAACCAAAGTCAGACAGACTAACGAACACTGAGCAGTACAAATTTCACACAGATTCCAACTTCCAAGTGCAATAATCGAGTTAAATCACATGAACACAATGTTTCACGCATGTCAATTTCAGGAAAGCATTCTGTCAGAAAGGGTAGCTTCCTTCATTACACAAGGCCTCAGCCAATGCAAGATCCGGGGAGAGGCAATGTAATAACCATACCCTTGCAAGCAGGTTGTTTCCATTACTCAAATCATGGCCAGCTAAAACATGAAGGAGCAATCCAATTGTAACACCAAAGCCCACACTTAAAAAAGCAAAATATTGCAGATTGCGAATGCATGTACCGAATACTATTTAATCTGCCATTGGAACTTGGTGTGGACTCCTTAAAGAAGATTTCAAATGTATAAAGTATGAAATCCTGGATAAAGACTAGAACTGAAAGCAGAAGATGATAAGAAATTTTCTGGAGCTTCAAATGAAGATTTGAGAAATTAAGCAACGATGAAGTATATGCAACCAAAAAGAAAACAAAAATGCAAAAAATAAATAAATAAATAAAAGCTTCCGGTACTACATTTTAGGTTCAATACTACATATGTCCATTGATTTTAGAGCTTATAATTCACAGTAAAACCTAAAGGAGGCATCTCTGTCATGTTTCCTAGGGAGCTCCTTAAGGGGTACAACACATTTACCTAAACCTAGCAACCAGGCATGAAACTACAACATGTGCCTTTACTTGTACTCATTGTCCTTAATTTATAAATATAACATAACACAGCCACCAACATACATACATACATACAAACATACATATATATATATATGGAGAGAGAGAGAGAGAGAGGTATTAACAATTGATGATCCCTCTCGCATGGTGAGGGATGTTTACATCTTGTGATAGGATAAAGGATGAAACAAATCATAGAAAAGCAAAAGCACAACACTAGGAGAACATGCAGAAATTAGGTTTTAAGGAAACATTCAATCTTTTAGTTCTAGACATACTTCATATTGTCTCCATGCATTACCTTTACATAAAGCAATTTTCTAGGTTGGAATTTCTATAGTCAGAAACCAAGAAGCTACTTACGTATGTTTTGACACTAACTGCCTTGCTACCTGGTTGTCTCCGGAAATGTGTTGCAAACTGGTTGTCTCCAGACTATATGGCAAGATCCGAACAGCTTAAAAATTCTGTTGTCTTAAGAGAGCAGCTACATGTGTGAGATTCTA